ACATATCTAAGGGCAAAGGAAGTATGAATCTTGCTTAGCCTGTATAGAAACCAACCCAAACCTGTGAGTGTAAGATGTCAATCTTTAAACAACAATAACAAAAACAAAACACCCACCAATTTCTTTTAATGTACCAGTATCTTTCAGCACCATTGCCTCGGGAATCAAATGAGGAAAACATCTATGTTTTCATGAGAAAACAGGGAAAACATGAGGAAAAACATCTGTAAACTATGGCAATGCCATACAAAGGAGTGTTTTCCCTCTATGTACTTGTTAATTGAAAAAGGACAAAGTAACCGTTCATTGGAGCTATTTGGCAGAAATGGCCTCACCAAGTATTCATGTGAACCTCTTTGAAATGGGACAAATCATGTGTGCATGAAGAGATGTAATGAATTACACATAATGGTATTTCTGAAATATTGCTGAAAATGTAAGGTCCTGACTCTGAGCATAGAGGAGCATCATACAAAAATTAAATTAATAAGGAGTGCTGTGGGATGGTCTGTATGTCAAGTGTTTTGCTGATTGGTCAGTAAATAAATCACTGATTGGCCAGTGGCCAGGCAGGAAGTATAGGCGGGACAAGGAGGGGAATAAAGCTGGGAAGTGGAAGGCTGAGTCAGAGAGACACTGCCAGCCGCCACGATGACAAACAGCATGTGAAGATGCTGGTAAGCCACGAGCCATGTGGCAAGGTATAGATTCATAGAAATGGATTAATTTAAGCTGTAAGAAAAGTTAGCAAGAAGCCTGCCACGGCCATACAGTTTGTAACCAATATAAGTCTCTGTGTTTACTTGGTTAGGTCTGAGCGGCTGTGGGGCTGGCAGGTGAGAGAGATTTGTCCTGACTGTGGGCCAGGCAGGAAAACTCTAGCTACAAAGGAGCACTAGATAAAAATTTTCTTGTGATCTTCAAAACTGTTGAGGTCGTGGAAGTCAAGAAAACATGGAGGATCCACTAACACTGAATGGTACTGAGGTAATTAAAAGCATTGTGGGATTCTGGATTGGACCCTTCTGCTGAGAAAGGAATCTTTGCGAAACCGAGGAAATAAATGAGATACAATTAGATGGGAGCGCAGGATCAATGTCAATTTCCTGATGTCAGTGGTTGCATATGGTACTATTGGGGAATACAGTATGACATTGTCTTTATTTATGAGGTACATACTCTGGGGTAGTTGGTCTTGATTGTCAACTTGGCAACCTGGAATCACCAAGGAGACATAGTCCAGCATGTTTATGAGGGTGTTTCCAGAGAAGTTGAATGAAGGAAGATGATCCAACCTTAGGATGGGCACCATCCAAAGGGTGGCCTTGGTATAAAGACTTTGGGAAAAAAGTGGCGACCCTGATCACCTTCACCTCTTCCAGAGTGGGTGTGTCTGTCACCACTGCTGCCACCCTCTACTAGCATTAGGCTTCAGCTTTCTGAAGGAGACTCAGTACTAGCAACTTTATTGGTTCTTCCAGGTTTTCAAGGCTGAATCAAGGTATCTGATGCATCCAGACTCATGAGCTGTGAAACTACTGGGTTTTGAAGATGGTCCTTGTTGGACTGCCCAGACTTATTGCCTAACAAATTTCCTTTGATTCTATCTGTCTGTCTATCTATCTATCTATCTATCTATCTATCTATCTATCTATCTATCTATCTACCTATCTCAGTGGTTTTCAGTTTCTCATGTTGTAGTGACCCCCAAACATACAATTATTTTCATTGATACTTCATAACTATAATTTTGCAACTGTTATGAATTATAATATAAATATCTGATATACAGAATATCTGATATGCGATCCCTATGACTATAGTACACATTCTATTGATTGTGCTCCTTTAGAGAACTTTGATATGTATAGCATAGTGTTTGAGGCTATAGATATCATATAGTAACACACCAACAAGTGATTTAGGGAAAACTCTCCTGTGTATGTCACTGCAGTTGCTTAGAGATGTTCTTTCCTTATGCAAATTTTTGATTTATAAGGGACCAATATTGAGAAATACTGGTGCTTTTTAAGAAGGATTGGTGCTTTCCTTGAAAAACTGAAGTCTTGCTTTCATGGGACTTGGGTTGGTTTCTACAGAAATGGATTTTGCTAAGCAAGTTCCATGCTTCCCTTGACTCTACACATGCATGTCACTTAACATTTAGGCTTTTCTGTTATGAATGGAATAAAGCAAGGTGGTTACCAGAACTCTGGAAGATTCCAGCATCATAATCATACTCATCATACTTCTAGAATTGTGATCTAAATAAAATATCCCTTATTGATAAAGCACTCAGTCATAGATACTTTGACAGTAGAGAACATATATATATGTGTGTGTGTGTGTGTGTGTGTGTGTGTGTGTGTGTGTGTGTGTATATATATATATAAAACTTCACAAGTTGTATATATATATATAACTTCTTCACAAGTTTGTGATTACTTAAGATATAAAAGGTAGTAGGGTTTGTTGGCCAAAGTGTGTGATACAATAGGTTATTAGATTAATGAAGGAAGAATGCAAGTTCAAGGTCTGCCTGGGCTATCAATTGAATTAAAGGAGAGCCTGTGTCAACAGTAAAAGTGTTAGGGATGCAGCTTAGTGGTAGAACACTTGCTTAGTATGTGTGAGATCCTAGGCTCAATCCCCAGTACTAAAAAGGAAGGAAAAAGAAAGATACAGACAGAGACAGAGAATGAATGAGTAGATAAAGAAGCATTGAATGATCCCAATGTGCACCATGTTAAAGTCTTTTGTAACCAGCCTGTAGTACTGGTCAAATATAGGGACAAATGTAGAAACTTAGCTCAATGGAAGCCTCTTAAAAGGGATACTGGACTCCCCTGCTCTGTCCCTCTCTTTTCCTACCTCTTGCTTCTAGCTATCATGAGGTAAACAGGCCTTTTCCATCACATGCCCCATCCATGATGTACTGTGCTGACACAGGCCTGATACACAGGGCCAAGCAACCGGGAGCTGAACCCATGAGACAGTGAGCCCACATCAGCTACTCTTGGAGGACGATTTACATGAGGTGTTCTTTACAGTAACATAAACCAGGCTAACACAAACCATCTGTAATTATGATGGAGAGTGTAGTTGTGGAAAAGAACACCAGAGGGTTGCCTAAAATAGCTGTCCGTGAACAGCTGCTGCTGGGATTTGAGATGTGAGGTCCAGGCCTGGTTCTGTGCTTTAGCAGTGAAATGCCCCCCAGTTAAAGCACCCACTTTCCCTGGCTAGCTATTTCTTCATCTTCAAAATATAAATGGATATAGTTCTCTTCCTGCTTGAAAATTTAACCCTGCAGTTTCATCTTAATATGTTATAGCTCACCCCTAGCTCTGACGGGTTTTTGTTGTTGTTTGTTTGTTACAAAGTCCTTTCTATCTATCTGCCCCAGGGAGGTCTCTGACTAATGTAGTCCCAAAGTTTGGCAGCTGGGCCACCGTGGCTCCATTTAATCCTCCTCAGGCAGGCAGGATTAGTGTTTCTGATGCACTGAGCTCTGGAAGGGCAGCACACCCTGGCTTAACAGTTAGAGATAAATCCATGTTCTCTTCTGTCCTGCATAATTCCAGCAGCATGAGTTGATGCTCACTTGGGAACTTGCCACAGAGAACATTCCCTTGGAGGGCCTCCAAATGTTAATTCTAGGGATGATGGCAGTTCCAGGAGGGGCCAAGCCAGATGGGCAAGGCTGGACAATCATAGAAGTCTCATCTCTCCACACTGAGGCCTGTCTGAATTTTAGAACATACCAAGAAACATTAGTAAACTCCACACAAATATGGAGCAACCACACATAAAAATAGTCATTGCGATTGACATTTAGCCAATGGAAATTTATGCACCATAGTGTGCTGAAAACCCTCTCTACTTAATAATAACCAGACACAAGAGAATGAAAACAAGATGCAAGCCTACTGAAAAATAAAGACAGGGACGATGCATATTATATATGCTATATTGTGTCAGCTTTTAAAACCAATTGCAGCCGATTTTATGCATCATTTAATTGAGGTATTTTCTGCCATTTTTTTGTTATTAGAATCACTAGTGATATTATATGATTAGAAAGAACACCAACAGTAATTAGGGATCCCTTTGCCCAATTACCATAGAGCATGACACATACTTTATGCTCAATAAGTATTTGTAGAATGAAGTCGGGGAAAAAAAATGTATTCTCCTGTGACTATGATTTTCATGGAGGTAGGCTTAGGCAGCTATTTCCAAAAGAACATTGTAAAATTTGGGTTTTCCTTAGAATTCTAAACCTGATGGACTTCAAGCAAGAATTTATTAAACCTAATGATAAATATTTCAAATGAAATAGAACATATTGAAAGGTCTTTTTTTCCCCTATGAGAATTCTGTTTCTTTTTATTATTTTAGCTACAAGTAAGATAGATGTGTGTGTGTGTGTGTGTGTGTGTGTGTGTGTGATTCTTCTTTCATATCCATTCCTCCAATCCAGCAGGTATGAGTGCCATAAACCAGAATGATGCTTCCTTATGTGTGTACTGAGATTTCTCCACTGCAGCTCAATGCTGCCATGGGGATGATGGCTTGCTTATAAAGCTTGGGTAATGAATAGCCCAAGATTTATTTTCACATTTATTTGGGACAATCTCCTCACTGTCACTGTGCCAACATCGCCAGCACAACTTGAAGTGGCATATAAACAGCACAAGCTTTGGAAAAAGAGAAGAAAATGCCTGACCTTCAACATCTGCTCTGCCACTCATCAATCCCATGCCCTAGGGCGGTTATTCAACATATTTGAGCCCCCTTTTTCGTGGTCATTGTTCTAGTTAAAAGAAGCACATATTTGTCATACCATTTCTCTGGCACTAGGTATGAATGTTAATTATCTCTTAGCTAATTTTCTGTAGACTTTTACCTCTCATTCACCTTGGTGTTCTTATTTGTGCCCACTCTTTCCTGGTTTCTCATCCCTCCTGACTCTCACCTCTTGCAAATCAAATCACCAGCTCCCTGTGCCAATGAACTACTCCGCAGGTCTGCATCTCCTTGCTGATCACAAAAGGAAGGTAAGAGTTTGGAATTCTTTGAAGAACCCTAGGCTGCCTTCTGCCAACAGAAGTCTTCATTTGTTTCCTGATGACATCAGTAGAAACATGTCTAGTGTTTAAACTTGCTTTTAATGTCAATTGGCCACAAATTAGAGTCACCTGAATAGGGATTGCCACTCCAAAAACTGTCTTAATTACCTTAGCTGATGTGGGAAGATTGACCCCAAATGTGAACAGTATGTCCTGGTAGCAGCCCCGATGAAAAAGTTTGCCTTTTGCTGGCTTGGCCTTCCCTCTCATCACCAAGCTGCTCTATCCTCCTGCTTGCTGGGTCTGATTCCTTTGCTAATATCAGAACAAGAATTCCTAGGCTTCCACTGTTGACTGAGGAGCAACAGCTTTCCAGGAACCTTCCGTGTTTCAGGGACCATGTTGGGACTGCTGAGGCACCCAGCCTCAAGGACTGAGCAACTACTGGTTTAGCAACAACTCAGCCTCTCAGCTGTTGTTACTGAAAGTAAGTGATTTGGTGAATACACACACACACACACACACACACACACACACACACACACACACACACACACGTGCATGTGTGTGGAAACATAGCTCATCCTATTGGTTCTTTTCTTTCAAAAAATACCAACAAATGCAGTCCCTATTCCAGCTTTAAGTTCTCAGCCCTATTTTTCATATAGCCCTATGTATGATTTTTCCCTGCTTTGACGCAGGTTCATCTAGCTTGCCTCAATTTCAGTGTAGAACTCAGCCATTGAAATAATTGCCATTCAGGACCATGGTTACCTCTAAACCATGGAGCCGCTGTCACCCAGTATTAAGTAGTACGGTTGAATTTTTTATGTAAGACACAGATTCTTTAAAATGTGTCAGATAATAAGTGACATTCTACTGCCCAGTGCCAAAATGGTTTATCATCTCATCTAGAATGAAAGTCAGAGCCTTGTATCTCATTGCCTGGGTGAACCTTAGGGTCCTGCCTGCCTTCCAACTCAGCTCCTCTTCCTTTTCCTTCGCCACTGTACTTCAACTGCACGGACCTCTGATGCTTCCCATCTTGCAGAACTCAAGGTAACACTGAACTCTTTTGTTCTTGCTGTTTCTGATGTCAGAAAGCTGGTCTCCAAGATAGTGTCATTATCACAGATGGCCTCAAACTTCTCGAGAAGTCTTCCTGGGCTGCACTGTCTAAATTAGTATCAGCAGCATCACTGTCTGTCTTTTAATCAATCCTGTGTTTCTGCACACACAAGCACATTTCAAACACATTTATTTTGTTGTTGTTGGTGTTGTTTGTATAAAAGCCGTATCTTCAAGTGCAGGATTCCTGGAATGAGGAGAATCTGTTCCCTTCACTGAAAGCATCTCCAGTGAGCAGAATGGGGAATGGCTTAGAAAAAGCCTCAGAAAATGGTGACCGAGTGGGGAAATGCTTTCACTAAGGAATACCCCTGAGGTTTTCACACAATTTCTTAGGAAAGGGTTGGGAAACCACTCTCTCTGGAAGACACTGAGGTGCTGTGTCTCTAATACAAGAACAATAATGTAATAGCTTCAATTTATTGAACATTATGATGCCTCACCCAGTAGGATTTTACAAGTTGTTTGTGATCATTTAGGAGCTGATCATTTCATCACTTTGGTTTATAGGAAAATGTGTAATACTTTGCTATAAGGTTATTACAAAGGAGATGTGCAGTTTTTCAAAGTACTCTGCAATGATAGCACTGTCTGAAAATGACACTTTCGGGTACTGATATACATAGATTGTTATCCCACTAGAGACACTTGGAATTCCAGTTCTTTCCCCAGTGAACTCTACCATGGCTCCAAGCTCCCAGTAAACAGATAGCTAGCTACAAAGCCTCCAAAAGTGTAGGACTGAGCTTCAGGAACTTGAAGGACAGCATCAGATTGGTCTAGTTATATCTGTACTGCTTCCAAAATTAGTTACATCTGCCCCAATTTCCTCGTCCTTTAAATGGGAGTCATGACAGTACCTATGTAATGGAATATGGGATCTGAGGAATTAATGAAATAATATGTAATGTTATTAACATGAAGCCATCACTCAACACTTATTAATGTAAAAAACAGGAGTCTGGGTACCAAGAACTTAAGAAAGCAGTTCTCACACACTAAAAATTTTGTCTTTGCTTCTTTTCTGTTGTAATAATATACTCTGACAGAAGCAGCATAAGATAAACATGATTTATTTGGTTTCACAGTTCAAGGTACAGTCCATCATGGCAGGAAAGTAAAAGCAGAATTTTGAAGAAGCTCCTTGCATGGAATCCACAATAGAAAGCAGAGAATGACAAACGCATCTATTGAGGCTTGAACGAGAAATGTCCCTCATAGGCTCATGTATTTGAGACTTATTGGTGGTGCTGTTTCGGAAAGTTATGGAGCCTTTAACAGTAGTGTCTTGTTGAGGAAGTATGTTACTGGGAATGGATCTTGAATGTTTGCAGCCTCACCCTACTTCATATTCTTTCTGCTTCCTGTGTGTTTTTGAAGGTGAAATTACCCAAATTTCTTCTCCTGTTGCCATGCTTTCTCTGCCTGTTGCCATGCCTTCCATGCCATGATTTATCCCATCTCTCTGGAACAGTAAGCCTGAATAAACTCTTCTTGTCATTGTTTCCACCAGGGCATTTTTTCACAGCAACAGAAAAACAATTAGAACAGCTTGCATGCTAGTTCTGTTCTCTGCTCATATACAGACCAGGATCTTCTACCTAGAGGATGGTTTTACCCACAGTGGGTAAGTTTCAAATCAATTAATGTCATCAAGATAATCCCCCACAGACATGCTACTTGGTCAACCTCGTCTAGACAGTCCATCAGAAAGACTTCCTTCCCCCATAATTCTAACTTTTGTCAAATTAACAACAGTAACCATTCCAGTGTTCCTTTCTAATATGACACAAAGAAATAAATTTCTCTTAAGGATTTAATATTTAAACTCACAGAAAACTTAGCATTTCTGTTGCTTACACAGCATTTTTTATCTCTTTTTTCCAAAATGATCCCTAAGCTTGGGGTGCAGGAATTCAACTATAGATGTATCTTTTGGGACTGGGCTTTACAACTCTTTATTTTGATGGGTTGTAGTTTCTGTAATAGCCCTCATCTGTTACACAAAGAAGTTTCATGGTGAAGGGCATGGACTACACTTATCTGTGGGTATAAGGACAAATATTAAGAATATAATTAAAGATTATGGTGGTTTAGTATAGGGGCAGTTCTCCTCTGAGATCCATGACTTCACTGGCCCTAAGATTGTGTCTCCTATGAATGTCAGAAGCTGCACCAAAAGGTCTCACCAACATGAATGTCTAAACATGAGCTGAAGAAGGACAACAATAATAACAAACATGCCAAAGTGGATGGGGGAAAGCCTATGAGGCCTTGACCTTACATAAAGAACTACAGGCAACTAAGGAGCAGGTTTTACTTATGTATTTAGAAATATATATATACACATATATATGTATATGTATAAAATTAATGAAAAAAAGAGGCCATGAATTTGAAAGAGAGAAAGAAGGGATTTGTCAAAGGGCTTGGAGGGATAAAAGGGAAAGAGGGAATATAGTAATTATATTATAATCTCAAAAATAAAAGAAGTAATTAAAATACTTTAGAGATGATATGTCTGTGGATATTCACATAATTTTCTAATATATAAACTTGAATGATGTCATATTTCTACTCTATTTTTTGAATATAAGGTGTCATTGTTCTCATAACTTTTACTATATATAGCTGCCTGATTTCATCATCTGTGGTTCTGAGTGAGTCTATAAGATTTTCTTTGTGATACAATTACTACTGTTCCTTCCTTACTTTGGTTTAGATTTTAGAACAGTTTGCACCAATTGCCTAGTAAAACAATGCTACTATCTCTTGAATAGTATGAGAGGAGAATTCTCAGGTCTTGCTTAGGGAATGGCCAGGTCAGATGTGAGCTGAGTTCCCCTGGAAGCCCCCCACTGGGAAATGTTAAAAGCTTATATCCCTTTCTTACATCGTAGCCATTTTATAGCTTGATTCTTCTTTCCTTTAGTTATGCTCTATATCAGGTGCATGCTGACCTTTTCTAAGAACAAGTACAATTAATTTATTAGTATTGCTTTTATCGAGCATTGGCTTTTATTTGGAGGAATATATGTATTATATTAATATAACATACTTATATTAATATAATACATATTTGTATTATATATACAATATAATATACTTATATTAATATAATACATATTTATATTAATTCAAATGGGAGTGTGCAAGTGTGTGTGCACATTTGAAACTGGGAAAAGTCTACAGAGACTTCCAAAAAAAGTAAGTGAATCCACAGGCGTATCTCTGAAATAATCTCATGTCAGCTCTTGGAGGTAGAAATTCCTCAGGAACGACCTTTTGTCTCTCTAGAGTAAATTTTATAGTTCTACAGGAAATGTCACTGCTGAGCTCTGCAACTGCTATGTGTTTACATGTGTGTGGTGAAAGAGAGGGAGGGGCAGGAGTGTAAGGGAGCAAGCCATCAAGAAACTGATACTGGTCCAGCAGAAATAATTTCTTATTTCTTGAATATCCTTCCCTTTCACAATAAAATATATGTTTCCAAATCACACATCAGCTGTTTGCAGAGTTGGAAGTGGAATGCCTGGGCTGTGATTCCTTTTTTTTTTTTTTAGAAGAAAACTAGGAAATGAGTCATAAAACATTAATACTGCCTTAAAATAACCTAGGGGAGGGTGAGCCCAAGATGAACTTGAGTCGAGCACAAGAGGGAGGCTGTACCTCCAGAGGAGAAATTTCATTAGTGAGGACTTGCCCTTTCCCATGGAGAGTTCTGGGGCTGACTTCTTGAAGCTGGGAGGGTTGTGTCATGCTGAGAGGGAATCTTGGCTGCTTTATACATCTTTGCAACTCCTTTCAGAACCAGAAAGAATTGAAGAGGGAAGGCACCATCCCTACCCTGCACAAAGGCATCCTGACACGTCAGCAGTATCTGTTCCAAAGCTGTCCCAGGTTTCGGAACCTTCCTTGATTTAGGACTTCATTAATTCAGATGTGTGGAAATTTGGGTGGCACCAGGTAGAAATGAAGAGGAGTGATTAAGTATAGGGCTTATGGATTCAGACAAACCTGGGTTAGAATACAGTCTTCATTAACTGTGACGTGAACATTTATTTACCAACTCCAAGACTGCTTCCTCTTCTGTGAAACTAGGACACTGAACATCTAATTCTGATGTAGTTGAATTAAATGAGATGAGTGTACACTAATCCATGATTAAAACTAAAGTCATCTTTTATGTTCTACTTAGGTTATTTTAAATGCTCATCTTCCCTCTTGTAAGAAGTCCAGTTTTCTGTTGGATACTTCTTCTCCAGTTATTTCTGGAATGATCAGAGAAAATACTTACATGTTCCTCATGTTAACCCTAGTAGTCATTCCTCTGAGTGATTCCTGCTCCAGAAAACTGATGTAACGTCATGATATCAGACAGCAACTTGCTGGTTAGAGTTAGAATGAAGCCTCAGCTAGCCTGCACATCTCCTCTAAATAGAGCTGCTACTTGATGAGTAGGTCTCTGAGTGAACTAGAAAACAGCACCTTTGTTTCCCAGGTAGATTCAGCCCTTTATCAAGACCCATGACTTGTTGAGGGTAACAGTGTAAGCTAGATTTCATCCTTGGCCTTCTACCTCACCCAGTGCTTTGTACAATAACAACAGTACAACTCTGATCAATAACTTAGGTATTCCCTGAGTGCATGCAGCACAAAACTCACTCTAGCAACTGTAATGTGAACAAATTTATTTCTTTCTAGCTCATTTTCAAGAAAATGTGTTTCTAGGTTTGATCTGACCACTTTGTAGTGTTATCAGAGTCCTAGGTGACTGTGTTTCTGTCCCATAATCTGAAGTGTATGTGTTCTAGTCTGCTTCCCTGTGATTAACACCATGACCAAAAGCTATTTGGGGAAGGAAGGGCTTGTTTCAGTTTACACATTATACTCTATCACCAAGAGAAGTCAAGGCCAGAACTCAAGACAGGAACTAAAGGGGAGACCACAGAGAAGCATTGCTTACTAGGTTGACTCCCCTGGCTTGCTCAGCTACCTTTCCTATACAGCACAGGCTTACCTGACTAGGGATAGCGACACTCATAGGGGGCTGGGTCCTCCTACATCAATCAGCAATGAAGGAAGTGCCCCCCAGACAAGCTCCCATGCCAATCTGATGCAAATAATTCCTCAACAGAGATTCCTCTTGCAGTTGACTCTAGTTCGTTAAAGTGACAAAAACTAACAGGCACAGATAGATATTCACAACTGTCCAGGCAGGCCTAGAACTCATGCCTTAGCCTCCCAAGCAGTTGAGATTATACCAAGCTGCATTATTATTTTTTCTTTCTTCAGTGAACACTTACTGATGAGAGCTATAGAGTTCATGCAGTCTTGATTGAAGTGCTAAGTAGTAGGAAGCCGAACGTGACAGTGACAAACTGTGGTGATATTTTATTTGTGCTCTATCAAATAAAGCTTGCTTGGTGATCTGATCTTGGGAGGCAGAGATTCATCCGGATCTCTGTGAGTTCAAGGCCACACTGGGAAGTGGCACATGCCTTTAAACCGAGTGCTAGTTAACCATAGAGGTCTGGAGGTCTTTATAGACAGACAGGAAGTGATAAAGCTGGGCAGAAAGAGGAAGTGATGTAGCTGGGTGGAGAGAAGAAGTAAGATGGCAGGGCACAGAACAGTACATAGGCGTGAGTATACAGGAAGTAGCTCTCTTGGGCTGAGGATTTCTCAGGAGTAAGAACTTGTACCTGGCTTGTTCTATTCCTCTGATTTTTTAGCTTTCACCCCAATATCTGGCTCCGGGTATTTTTTTTTATATTAATAAGACAGTTTAGCAATTCATCTTACAACAAACACTCCCTATGCACATAAGGATTGTTTTGAATAAGTCTTGCTGACCAACAGTTGATTGTATGACCACACTTGCATGTGGAGAAAACTGAGAAATGTGCCCTTTTTAGCCAGGCATGTGGTTAAAGGTGGCAGCAGTACCGAGGGAGGAGCAGGGTAAATGGATGTGAGGCTGAGAAATTAACAATTTCTCAAAAGGCTCATTCTCAATTCTACTTTGTTCTAAGCATGTACTCAGTGAATTTCCTTTCCTTAGCTACTCCTTCCTTTGACTCAAAAAAGCCAAGACTCTGACATAATAAAATTTCTCTGAATGCAGACAAGGGTGAGAAGACAATACTGTAGTGCCCTGGAGGCATTATGACGCAGTGTTTCAACACTGAGTCACATTGTCTGGCCTAGTCCCTGGCTTTACGATAATTTCCTAGCTGTAAGGCCTCAGAGACCTTTTCTCCTAATGTATCAGAGGTCTTCTCCAGTATGCAACAAGATAGGGCTGTCATAAACACTGAATGAGATCATATACACATGTGCCGTTGTGTGTATGATGGGTATATTCCTGCAAATTACTATGATAAGCCAGAGCACACAGGATCTGGCACAGCCTTGGCCTTAGGCTCTTGGAGGTGTGCTTCATAAGAATAGCATTCTGTTCTCTCTGCAATAACATCTATGGGGTCTTCCCTAAGGTCAAAGGCCCACCTTCTTACCTTTATACCTGGCGTGCTCCATTGTATTGAAGCCGTTACTATTATTCTTATTTTTGCTATCAGCATGGACATTTCATTTGCTTACCACTGTTTGATGCCTGTCATCAAAACTGCTTGCCAGAAGCAAATGGAAGAAGTGAAATCTACAGAGGAGTAAGGATTGGAGAAGGCACGCAGTGAAGGCATGCAGCTGTGAACAACATCTGACTTCCAAGCTCAAGAGGTCAACAGTACAGGTGAGCTGCCAGTGCATACAGATTTATCCACATGGCCTTATGTAAACTGTAGTGCATGGGCACATATAATGCTTCTTTCTCTTATTTTTTAAAAAATTTTGAGGGAACAGAGAGAAACACGCTGAGTTATTACTATGGTAGATGAAGCGTGCATAACAAATAGAATAGACAACCCACATATATGATAAGCAAACATATACAAATCCTAATACTTCACTGAGAGTTTTCAGTGTAGAAATAAAACATACTATAGATTATAATACAGCTTGTCACAGTGGCACAGCCCCACATCCCCTGCTGCTTGGGAGGTTGGGGTAGGAGAGTGCCTTCATCGCAGCAATTCCAGGCAGTTAGGGTAACAACTACAACAGTGTCTCAGAAATACAATAAAATGTGTTACTCACTTCTGCAGACAGTGGTTACTTTTGATGCTTCTAGCCTCTTACTTTCATTTAAAGGTCTTTGCTTCCCTCCCCACAGGCTCTCAAGCAGTGCAGACTCCACTCTTGCTGTGAATTTCTCCATCTCTACATGCTGGATTGTAGACGAATTTCTAAGCGGTCTTATTAAATAAAAAACACGGAGCCAGAAATAGGGGTGAAAATCTGACAGAGATCAGAAGAATTGGAACAGCCACCAGCTAACCTTACCTCACCTCGCTGCAGCTTCCAAAGTGAGCGACTTCCTGTCTAAACAGACATATAGCTTTCTATTCTGCTAACTCATTTCCTCTCTCCACCAAGCTACATCACTTCCTGTCTGTCTGCCCAGACCTCCAGAACTCTATGGTGGATGCTGGGATTAAAGGCGTGTGTCACCATGCTTGGCTCTATTCCCTAGTGTGACCTTGAACTCACAGAGATACAGATGGATTAAGGGTGTTTGCTAACATTGCATGACTTCTGTTTTTACTAATAGTGACTGACCTTTATCCTCTGATCTTTAGATAAATTTTATTGGGGGACACAGATGAATTATCACCACACTGGACTCCTAATTCAGATCCCTACCTGTCTCTGTCCTCAGCATGTGGTGGACTTCTCTCTGGTCTGTCTGCCTATCTATCAGGACAAACCGTGGCAACTTCCATTTCCTCCCGGGAGAGTCCCTCACCTGTCCTGGAGCACAGGCTGAACTCTGTTGTCCTGACAAGACAGTCACAAGGTTTAGAGTACATTGCTCAGAAATCACTTTTCTTCCAACCTAAGTAATGCCACCTGTGGGCTCCAAAACCCAGGTTAAATCCACTTCAGACAAAGCACGGCTCCCCATCTGCAAAAGACAACAGCAAAAGCCGGCACAGTTTAGCTACAGTAATAAACAAAACACTTATAATCTTGACCTGCAACATGATTTCAACCTGCAGGATTTCACAGTTGTTGCTGTGTTTTTTTTTCTTCCTAAACTAAAACCATGGGTTGGAACTGGGTTTACATAAGTAATAGCCACATTTCCTGTTAAAAGCATCAATCCTCTTGTTCTCAAAGGAATCTCAAATGTCTTGATCTAAACAGAACTGAAAATTGTCAATCACTCCTAAATCACACCTCTTTTTGCTTAAATAGAAAGTAAAAATTCATTCCCAGGACACTAACTACACAGAAAAAGTTCTTGCCAATGTTTACCTCATGATAAATATTAAAACAATAGTTTCTGTTTCCACTTGCTTTGCTCTAAAAATGGAAGTTCCATGACTTTAAATACAGGACTTGTGGAAATGAAGATCATGATATTGCAAAATTTGGATTGTATAAAAGAAAAGCCCTACTTTAACCACATAAGATAGTTTACAGTGGAGTTTCTTTGCATCCAGGACAAAGAAAGAAACCACGTCACAAGTCTGAGATTCAGCACACTGGCACTTTAGAGGAGCAGGACTTATGTGCCAGTGTTGTCTACTAACTGTTCCCCAACGGACCGTCTATGAAGGCCCGGGAGGCCTAGGGGTAGGTAATATCTTTAACAGCAGGTTGAGAGAATAGACACCAACACATTCCATAGGTCTGTGTCTTCTAAGAACTGAGAAGTTGAAAGGTGTGAAGGTTCTGTGCAACTTTGGGCAATTTTAAGGGCAGCTAGACTAAAGCAGAGAAGGGTCTTCCTGGGAGGAATCCTAGTTAGGTATCAGAATGTCCTTGAGCTTCCCAAAATATTCTTCCTCTTACAGGTTAATCTACCATTTTCAGAGTACAGAATAAAGGTCAGATGAGTATCTGAGAGCTGAATGTGACCGTTAGCTTTCTCTTTAGCAAAAAGTTTTTCTGATTTTTATCAATTCCAGAGATGTATATTAGTGTTTAAGTTAGGGTTTTATTGCTATGAAGAGACATTATGACCAGGACAACTCTTGTAAAGATTCGCCTGCTTCTGCCTCCTGAGTTTTGGGATCAGCCATTGTCCAGCTGTAAATTTTTATATAATCCTTCTCTGAAAATGTAGAAACTAATTCTCCTTCCATTGAGCAAGAGCCACACTTGGAGAATAAATTTTAACAGTCAAAAGTTCTGAAAATGAAAATACATTACCTTTGGCCACAGAAAGATTTGTGGCTTTCTCCTTGCTCTTGCACGACTGCTCTCAAGCAATCCAGCTGCCATTTTGCAGCATGTGGCCCATGATCAAGGTATTGGTACTTCCCACCAGAACACAAGGAATGGAGGCTTCTTGTGACTAACTGTGTATGGGAGCCTCTTACAGAAGTAGGTCCTGTGCTCCAGCCCAGCTCACACATGACTGAAGTCCAACTCAGCAGCCCCAGCATGGTCTCCCAAGAAGCTGTCATCCAATAAATAGGCTACTCTCACATTCCTGACTGCAGAAACTGACACAATAAATGATTGCTATTTCAAGTTAAACTTTGGGGTGCAATTTAGTCACACAGTGACAGGAAGGTAACATAATCAGCATGGCTATCTTTTTGGTGTATTAATCTTTACTTCTCTTCTTTCTCCTTTGCTACAGAGATTATTTTTGTTGCTCTACAGGTCAAATGAAGAGTAAATCAATGTGGCTCCCTACAGTTTCCACTTAATGGTGGAGACACTGGATGATATAGGAATAAGTGAGATTGCAAGCTCTGGAGTTGAATTATCTGGGCTTGAATCCTCTCTGTGCAAAGTGGGGCATGCCACTTCCTTTGTGTTTAGTCTTTCTCATGTGTCACGAGGACAGGATGACATCACATGGGTTATTATGAAGATTAAATGAGGAATTGTGTACAAGAGGATTAACAGAGTGCCTGTTCCACAGTAAGTGCTGCAGAAGAGAAAGCTAAATCGGACTAATAGCAGCTCCTTCTAATGATTACAGCTGCGCCATAGTTATTCATCTTCCTATTCTTCAGAGCAGGTTATCATGACATTTTTCCATTATAAATAAAACAGTGTTAAATAGAATTGACCAGCTTTTTTTTTTGAAGCAGTCTTGATACATAGACATGAAATAGCTCAAAGATGCTCTTGAAATGGGTAAAACCATGCTTTCAAGAGTTTTGAGATTCAACTTCACACAATCTATGCTTCAGCTATGTACAGCTTCAAGCATACACATGTTATGTGTCTCTCTGTGAACTTTCGAGTAACAGTGAGCATGTCGTCTGGGTATCGTCCTTCTCTGGGGACTTGGAGGCCTAGAGCACTGGTTTTCAGGTGACTTTTGTTTAGAACTGAATGTCAGGGCTGTGCATCCACATATCTGAGGCTTAGCACCCCAAGCTGAAACTCTGCTGTCACTTACAAGCTGTGTGACCTTCAACTAGCCTGGGACTCATTTTCCTCAACTGCATATTGCAGGGTGGAAATTCTCACCTGTATTTGGGGTATAAGTTGTATTCAATGGAAATCGCTCTTGTCCAAGTACAAAAACGCAAGAATACAATGCTAGCTAGTCCTAGGACTGTGAGCCTCCTTCTCTCCTTGTAAATGAAGGTCGTTGCAGCTTTATGATTGCATGGCTCCATGGGTGTCAAGTATCTCCAGCTCCTGGCAGGTGGCACAGAATGCACAATTGGTGGATGTCCCCTAAGGAGAGGCATTTGACAGAAGTGCCTCACGAGTCCTGTTTCAAGCAAGAACCATCATCATCTCTAGTGTCCACACTATCCTGGGAGAGTCCCTGGGGTTTCTACTGGGACAGTGAAAGCCCAAGTGAAGGGTTTCCCTTGTCTGAATGTTTGCTAGACTGTTTCTTGGCATTTTCCGGCTTCCATTCTTTCTTCAGTCCTGGTATTTTTTTTTCATCCAAAAAGACGCATGTATCATCCAGGTATCAACTTAGGGCTGGAGTCTAAAGTCTTCTCTTACCTGAAGTTCATGGTGCACTTGCCATGTAGCAGAGTCTGCAGACAGCTTAGTGGGTGTTTTTATAGTCAGTGTTAAAGAAAAACAAAAACAACACCACCAAACATAACAAAAAAAGAAAGAAAGAAAAGGAAAAGAAGAAAAATTTCCACACAACTGATAGTTTTCCTTATTGCTTTGACTGTTGGCAAAGACAAGCGCCTAGGGAGATTGACTGCCTTGAAAGTTTCATTATTCTGCAAGAATATTTTTGATGTGATTTCAACAGCTCCTGACTGACTGTCAGCCTCACCGTGTGGCTTTTAAAAGTCCTTCCTCACCCCTCCAATCACTGATCCTAAAACTTACAAGAGCATTCAGGTCAGTTGTTGAGTACCCGAGTCTTTCCAAGTAATTAGCAGGTAGAAATACCAGGTAGCAGGCGGTGTTTGCTTGTAATCTGTCAATAGGAGCTGCAATGGGGGAAATTGTCGTTTCGAGTGGCCTTGCAACCACATCTAATTTAGAGTGTCAATAGAGTTTGTTTCTGTCTTTTGCTCCCACTGCCAGACTGTGAATTTTCCCTTTAGAAATCTTGTCTCAAAGTAAGATAGGTATTCAAAAGGGATGAACTTCAAGGGAAACTATTCCTCAGCCACTACAAGCTACGTAGGAACACTTAGGCCTCCTTTCTTTATCCCGTACTGTGGCTGCATTCTTTATAACAGTGGTATAGTCAAGACATTTGTCTAAGTCCAAGATTAGGCAGCCCTGCCCAAAGCAGTGAAGGGACACTGTGCCAGCTGAACCAGAGGTGAGGCTAGGGAGAGCAACAGGAAAGTCTGTTGCCTGGTGTTGGGTTCCAGAAGGCTGCATACTAATTCACAGATGGCGTGGGGAGATGCCTTCCCCTGCCATTTGAATCATTTAGGTTAACTCCCATGCTTCCTAAGGATAAAAGGCAATCTAAGAAGACACTGGTGTCAGATGGTGCCCAACCATTTCTTCAGGTACTTCAACTGATGCAATTGAATAAAGGTTGTGGATAAGAAGCAGATATAAGGTTAACCAGGACTTGTATTCCTAAAGATTTAAATCAAGTTGAATCCTAAAGGGGGTGTGGATTCAACAGCTGGTACCCAGCATTAGTTCTGAATGTCTATCTTATCAAGATAAACACATTTTTCTTTCCAGGCAAAAGAAGCCTTAGGGTGGGCAGTAGGACTGGGTACATTAATAACCAATGCAAAACTGGTAGCACATTTTAATTCTAATATGAATCAGCTTTTTCTTGCTGAGTACACCAAAGAATGAGCAGAGAAGGCTGTTTTTAACATTGCACTATACTGCCATTCAATATCAGTTTGGCTTTATAAGGTCATCCCATAAAAGGAGAATCACATTTGAGAAAGAAAACCCACTAGAACATTCCCTCTATGACATTCAGATTCTAAGACACATGTTCTTCAGCTCTATTCCTTGTACTAGACAGCCATTTGTAAATATATAGGTGATCCTTACAACTTCGGACCCAAAGAATAGTCCCTGTGCTGTAAACCCATCCATGATATAACGGAACCCCATTTCATCAGTTCCCACTCTGATGGGGATTTTTGACAAATTCTGTGGCAACCTGACATATGTGTCATAATGTCTAATCCCTTTAAGCTCCCCAAAGCTCCCAGGAAGTGGATGATTTCAAAGAACAGACTAGAAAAAAATGGTTCTCGTATTGAACCTATTTCTTCCATGTCTAGGAAGATCCTCAATCTCTCCCTTCTGCACCAGAAAAGGATGGGCAAGGTGTAAATCTGGGCATTGAAACAGTAATAGGAAAGCTGGCGCTAGCAGGCATTTCCTTGCAGCTGAAACAGTAAAGGTGGAAAGAGGTGAACTTACAGGAGCTTGCATCTCCCCACCTGAAACCTGAAGCCCTGCCCACCAACTTTTTCAGAACACTGTGCCAGCTGCACTGTTCTGTGGTAACAGGCATGTATGTCTGAGTTCAAGTACATTAGGAATCAGAGTCTGGGAAGGAGAGAGAGGAAAGTGGGGAGCTTCTAATAACAGAAATAAGTGCTGCCCCTCCTTAACCTGCTCTGTGCTTTTGAGCTCAGGCCTGCATTTCTTAACTGCACAAATCCACACTTGGTGTGCGGCATGGAGCCAGGCTCAGTGGAGGCCGGGAGGTGCTTTCATGGAGCTCTGACACCCTTGGAATTGTGCACAGTTGTGAGGTTTGCTTCTCAGACATTTGGACAGCTGCCATGAGGAAGGGAGGGAGGAAATTGGGCCAGTTTGCATTCTGTTACAGACCAGCCTTTTGGATGACAGAATTCTTTCCAATCAAAATGCCATGGATTACTCCCTGCTGTGAGCTAATAGGGTGCTAATTAGCATATTTCATTTATTTACTTAACTGGGGTAGAAACCATTGGGCACGTGGCCCACTTAGAATGGTTTCCTGGGGGAAGTCATGAGATGCTCTAAGCACTGCTTTCCTATACATTGTGGAAACCAGTTCACAGCAGCACAATGTCCCCTCATTTCTCTTCTCTCTTTCACACCTCTCTTTTCTACACACACACACACACACACACACACACACACACACACACACACACAGAGAGAGAGAGAGAGAGACAGAGAGACAGAGACAGAGACAGAGACAGAGACAGAGACAGAGACAAAGACAGAGGGAGGCTGGGTCTTGCTTCAATAAGAACCTAAAACGAAAAGCGAAATTGCCCTGCCCCTTCCTGGTGTTCATCCACATTGATGCTTTACTGACAGCTGTCTGGATCCTCTGGACTTGCCTCTCACTTGTAGCAATGACTCTAGGTCATTGGTGGAGGTGCATACCTCACTGTCTCCACATCATTCACTCTCTCTTGAAGACTATGAATGGACTCTCATGACAATGAGGTGGTTGCTGGGTTCCTTGGCCCTCTCTGGACTACTTCCTGGGGAATCTTAAACCCCATTTGCCATCATTTCCTCCTCATTTGTGGAAGAAAGCACTTGAAAATTCTCATACTGCCCTTGAGGACTTCTAGATTCTTTGGATTTCCATGGCAGTTAATCTCCCCAATGGCATATTTTCAGTTTGTTCAGGGACAAATCGTTAAAAGTGTTCAGTGAAACAAAGCAGCCAGAGCCCACTAAGCAAAGAGAAATGGATTCTAGTCCCCAAATGCTTCCTGTGATGCTTAGCCCATGTGTTAAACAGCAGTAGCAAAACCAAATGGCAGAAAAATAGTCAGTAGTTTGCCTGAGTGGATAGGAGACAACATATATACATACACACACACACACACATACACACACACATACACATACACACACACATACACATACACACACACATACACACACACACACATACACACGCAACACACACACACACACACACACACACACACACACACACACACACACACACACACAACCAGCCTCATACACTAAGAATATTCCTACAATTTTTTAAGAATAAAGATGTGTAAAGTTCTCTTATTTACTGAGGACTCAGTTAATGACACCGTGGTGCTCTCAATTATTCATTTCCAAGATCTTTGGAGAAAACATGACTATTTCTTCTTACTCTGGCTAGTCACTGAGTTCTGTCATTTCTACTTCCTGATGCTACTCAACTCGGGCTTCTCTTCTCCTTTTTGCATTGTCACTGTCTAGATGAGTAACCTGCCACTCAGACCCTAGTCCTGCAGGATGAGTTCCAAGGATTGAGTATCACCTGGTTCTTGCTAGAACCTCAGGGATTTGGTGACTCCTGGAACTAAGGACAGATGAGAATACACTGGAATAAACCCCCGGGTGATTTTCTGCCTATTATAATTCAAGGACACTGAGATGACAACATAGCTTGCCTCCTGACACGCTTCCCTCATCTGTTTCTTCTCTGGCAGTGTCTTCCATATGCCACTCCTCACTGTGTGAAATGTCTGCTGGGAAGTTATCCTCTCTGCAACCCACAGCATGGAACTCCATAGCATGTGTGATGTAAGTTCACATTGTCAGGTAGCCTCAGGATACTACCTCCTCCCTTGCAGCTCGGGTCCTGAAATCTTACCTAGGTAATCAGGAAACGAAGAAAGGACAGGCACACAGACACATGCAATTTACAGAAAATCTGGCATCAGGTGGGCTGTGGGTACTCTGATGGGATGGCACCACCTCCGCAACCATCCAGACCCCAGGACATGTAGTATGAAGGGCACAGGGGTGGCAGTTAGCTAGTGAGGGTAGGAGGTCTCCATAGGGGAGCAGTCTCAGAGGACTGAATTTCATACACATGGATCAATCACTCATAAATATTTGCACTTGCCCACACTGCCAACATTTAGAGAATCCTTCACAAATCCCAAGCCTGACCTGTATGGGAAAGACTTTGCCACTCTCATGGGTCCGAGGCATCAGTCCTTGTCAGGACTGTGCCCATATCAAACAATTTGAACCACTCAGGTCTTCATCCACTCTTATATATTGGGGCTTCCTCAGCTCCTCACAAGATACAACTTTAGTTTTCTATGCAGAATATTGTTTTTGTGTCAAGTTGATTTTTTTTTCTAATCTGTTCTACATGGCCCCAGTCTCTTCATGTTATCTCAGACATTTAGAATTTGACTGTTGATCATGATTTCTTTCTTTCTTTCTTTTTTTTTTTAATGTCAAATGCCGTTTATTGAAGGAGGGAGGAGGTCTTAAATACAGGCTTACAGCACAATGGAGAACCCTGGAGGGCAGAAGTTTGCTACCGATGTTTTATAATCTTGCATCTAAGCTGTTAACGCCCATTATGCAGGATACACAGACAAGGAACTTCCCTTAAGCAATCAGGAGGGTGGAACCCAGCAGGGAATTAGCATAGGGAGGATATCAAGGTCAAGGTCAGCAAGCAAGGCAACAGTTACCCAAAATGGGGACCAGGGCCCTACAGGTCCCCCTTTTACTAAAAAATGAGCTTCTGACTTAGGTTGCGTGGGATGTCAGCAGGTCACCTTACCTGTCATGGAGATGTCTGCCCAGGCCACACAGGTGCTCTGTCTTAGGTTGGTGAGCGCCCCCCCAGGCATTACCCGTCTCTGAGTACTCATTATCATATAGGCTCAATCATGTGTGAACTGCAGAGTTAACTGCTGCCAAAGATCTCAAAGTGGCACTGGGCTTGCAATCTGTGTGTTTGATACAGAAAAGACCAATAGAAGTCCTAACCCACCCATAGCAAGTAGGCTAAAGCCAACTGAGCCATTCCCTTCCTTAACAAGCCTTACTGCAAATTGGAGTCCTCGTAAGATGGTATCCCAAAAGCAAATGGAACTTGAGTTTATAAATTTATAATTTTCAAAGCCAATCAAATTTTCAAAGCATTGGCACCAGAGACCACTTCCTAAAAATAATAACAATAGCACAGACACTGAGCACAACAATTAATAAATGGGACCTCTTGAAACTGAGAAGCTTTTGCAGGGCAAAAGACACGGTCAATAAGACAAAAAGACAGCCTACAGAAATGGAAAAGATCTTCAACAACCCCACATCTGACAGAGGATTGATCATGATTTCTTGTGCTTTGCTTTTTGGTGGCTGTAGTGGGTAGCCGCTCCAGCTTTGACCTGTAAGTACTACTCCCAGTGAGGCTTCCAGTAACTGTCACACCTACCTATCACCTGCCTTTGAGGCAGGGCCAAGACAGGAGCCCTTAAGACCCAAGATCTGGATGTGCCGGCTCTCTTGGTTCCTGGTAATCATGGATGCTGGATGGTAGATCAAGCAGAGTTCTCCAGAGAACACCACTGGACTGCACTTCACCTCTTCTGGATCCTGTAACCTATCCCTTTACTTGTTGTAAGTTACCCCAAAATAAACCTTCCTTTTTAACTATGTGGAGTTGTCTTAATAAATAAATAAATAAACAAACAAATAAATAATAAATAAATGAATGAAGTAGCCAGTGGCATTTATATTCCTAACACATAGTTTTATGGTATCATTTGGAGTATTTGCTCATATTGGATCAGGTCTTCAGGTACTAATACTTCTCCATGTTGGTGGGTCCTCATGTATTCAATCCTAATTATTACTATTTTTACTGCCTTGATATATTGTCCTTCTTTGAGCTAGCTGGCTTGTTTTCTTTTTAGTTAATTTATGAATCCATCTTGGAAATATAGAAAGACTTGACTGTTCTTTGTAGCCAAGGGAGAAGTTAGGACATTGCCCAGGCCCTGCGTATTCCAGACACTCCCACCCCCTAGCTATTGCCTTCCAGACTTTATATCTGGGTCCTTGAGAATCATCTTCTACTTCTCAACATCTTTTTTCCTTTCACTTCTTCTGACACTCTTGATTTTGCACTGTGCTTCACCAAATGATACATAGCTTCCTTTGTTGCCAAGTCTATCTGACTTTGTCTTTGAAAAAAATTGTCATGTTTATTTTTTGTATTTTCCTGATTAGATGAGAAGTTCTTGTCAAATAGAAACAATAGAGTTCTTTGGTAGTCCACAACAGACCATCCAATAAATATCTAGTAATAATTTGAGTTTTATTAAATTGAAATATCAGAGCATTCTAGTTGTTCAATGCTTTTTAACTCATTAACTATTTGTCATTCTACTTTTATTTCTCAGTATAAGATCTGATATACTTTTGGGAACATAATGAGGACTCTCAATATGTAAATGCTATAGGCTGCTTCTTCTCTAGAATTTGTCCTTAATATTGATTCCTCAACAAACACCAGTGTGTTGGTTGGAAAAAAAAGAAAAAGAAAAATGTCAGAAGAAGAAAAGAAGGTGATCTGACTGATTGATGATTGACTAAATTTTTATTTGGTGACAGACTGCTGTGGGTTTAAAGTGATGGGGAGAATTTATAAATCACTCAAAATTATTGTTCACATACTAATACAATTAGAGTCAGTCCCTGACTATTGCTCTTAATATCCAGACTGATGAAGGAGAGAACTACATGTGTAAAGGGAGTGAGTTTAAACAGTTCCCTGATATGGTGAGCACCCTGCAATGGTCTGCAGTTGATTACTGTATAGTGTGATAGTCCAAGGAGACAGATAGTTCTTTAAAGAAGAGTTGCCATGGAAGGTTTGTGGAGACAAAGTAGATGAAGTCCCTTTCATATTCTGTTTTCCAAACATGGGGTCTTTATCTACACTTGTGGGGTGCCTGTTATTCATGAATTGAGAAAAGAAAAGAGCTATCAAATGTTTTTCCTCCTCTAACATATCAGTACAGCCTCCCTTACAGAATAAATTATGAAGCAACAGAGTATTTGCAGGGCTCCTATTTCCAGAAGGAGATTACCTCGTTTGGCCACAGTGTTTCCCAGTATGTTTCTCTGAGTCTATGTTATCAAATTGGAGATGCATAAAGTTTGGTGCAAAAAAAAAGCAAGAATTGTATGAAGCAGAAGTGATTTATCAGCCAAACCAGTAAACAAAGCACTATTTGGGGAACTGTTCAGAAATTGAGGAGAGTAACATGGATGGAAGATAGCACCTGAGAACCATGAAGTGAGTGGTTGATTTGGTTGTTCTGAGACCACTTTCTCAATAGGCAGTGACATTTGGATAGAAACCCATTCTAAAGCATTTTTAATGTACAGCATGTTCCTTGGAGTATTTAGATATTTCTTAGGGTTTACCTAGAGATGGAGGCATTGGTAATTGATGAGGACTTCAGCTTATTTGAATCCAGGTAAACATATCAGGTCCACACATCATCAGAAAACCCACATCTCCTTGGTTTGACTGTCATTAGAGATGTTATTTAGCAAGAGTAGGAAACTTGGAAGGTCACTTATGCATCACTAGATACAGATGACATTGTAGGTAATTTAGGAATCTCATTTTGTAAATATATATCCAAATGGAACTAGTGGGTAACTAGGAGCTAGTGATGTTCTTAAGCAGATAATGTTTACACTGCTAGGTATAAAGTACCCCATTCTTACGCTAGGGTATCTACAGGATAAAGTTAGGTTTGATGACTCCTTGCTGTGAGCTGCTGTTGTTAGACTTTTAGAATACTTTGGCATTGGCTTTTGAAATAGTTAAAGCCATTAAACTCATATTACTTCCATAGTTGTATTCATAATGAGGGGTAACTCCTTCCATGTATTGCTAAACAAACCTCAAGAGCTGGTTTTAGGTCAGGGAGATCTGAGACTCATCAGGAGAATTAGAAAATGTTGTTAAAAACTGAGATCAAGAGAAAGCCTGGGGCTGGAGAGATGGCTCAGTTCATAGATAACATGCTTACTGTACAAGCATGAAGACTTGATTTTGATCTTTAGTATCCATGTAAAAGCCAGGTGTAGTAGCACATGATTATAATCCCAGTGCTAGGGACATGGGAACAAGTGCATCCCTGGGCTTGTTGGTCTGGCAGCCTAGCTGAATTGACAAGCCTCAGGTTCAGTGAGAGACCCAATCTCAAAAAAAAAAAAAAAAATACAGTGGCTAGTGATAGTAGAAAATAACTGGATATTGAAATATTGTCCCCTGACCCAACACCTGGTATATACATTCAAGGTACACCAGCCTTTCTGTCTCTCTCTCTCTCTCTCTCTCTCTCTCTCTCTCTCTCTCTCTCTCACACACACACACACACACACACACACACACACACACAGAGGGGGAGAGACAAAGAGAGAGGGCACCTAGGTTTTCAACAATGGGACTCTGAGGAATAATGGACTATAAAGAGCATTATGGATAGCATATGGTGAAAAATACTGGTTATTTGTCATGCTTTACTCAATTGGAGGAGATTCTTAAGTTAACGTTATCCCGTGGAAAGAGACAGGGACTTAGAATAGGGTTGGAAGTTGGTAAATTGGTTCAGAAATTTCCTTATGGATATTTTATTTTTAGACCTAGACACTGTGACCTTTCTCTAGTCCATTGAATACTCTGAGTGCTATCACATCATATCCACATGTGATTAAAGACTGCAATGCATCAGAGTTTGGAGACAGTAGCATTCTGTTAAGGGAGTGGAGCTTCTCTGTAGATGTCATTTAGGGATGCTGGTAGCCTTTCTAAAGAAGTGAATGAATAGCTATACAAGCTCATATAATCTCATCTCATTTCATCCTGTAGCTTCAATGGCTGACAAGTCTAAGCAGCAGCAGCAGTAGCAGCAGCAGCAGCAGCAGATATCTCTCTCTAGACAATGATGTGGTTAGTTTGAATATGGTCGCTGGTTTGAATAGGGGTGATGTCCACCCAAGGTTCAGGTGTTAAAAACTTGAACTCCCAGAAGAAGCTATTGGGAAATATGTCATTGTGTATTTTTAGGAGATGGATTCTAATGATGAGTCATTATGTCATTGGGGTGTGCTTTCAAAGAGGACCATGGGACCTTGGTATGTTACTCCACTTGTCTCTCTTTGCTTCTTCGCTAATGGTATCAAAGATTTCCTCAGCCCTTTGTTCCCACCATAATATGCTGCCCTGTTCGAAACCCCAAGTGACAAAGCCCCTCAATAGAGCATTGGAATCTTGAATGTTGTGAACCATTTTTTCCTTTTTATAAATGAGCCTGAGAATATACTGATTTACTTGAGTTTTCTAAGCTTTCATATTAAATTTATTTTCTGTGTGGCAAGAAGAAGAGAACAATTCACAGAGAGTTGGGTAGAATACCTCTTTTTCTTAGGTCTTTCCAGTATATCTGTCATTGGCTATCTCTTTGTAGATAGGGCATGGGATTCCTTGGTTGATAATGCTATGTGTTACTGGTTTTTGGCCAGAGAGAAGGCATCTTTCCTTTCTCTACTTCATGAAGAAAGAAAGTACTTAGCAAGAACTTAGTGTCAGCATAACTGAGCTATTAGGGGCATTTATGGGTTCAATGAGGCTAAAAGGAAATAAATAGGCTCTATTTTAAATGAAGTTGCATATAATAGATCAACACTTTCACCAGACATCTGTTTTGTTCTGTATTTTCCTCTCTAACTGCCATCTTGGCTTTAGCCCAAAGCTTGCAGTCTTAAAATGGCTTTGAACAGTGGCTGGGGTATTCCACTTTTTATTCACATCGATCAGGAAGTGAAAGCACATCCCCTTTCTCAGATGCCCTAGACATCACTCCCTATTGTCTCATTGGCTCAAGCTGGATTATACACCTATTATTGAACCAATGAATATACAGCCTGGGAAATGGGCTTCACTGATAAGATTAAATTAATAAGGGTCCTTTATAGATGTTTAAACCAACCAATTACTGCTCATATTTTAATAAAATTCAAGCCTAGGTTTAAACACAACCATAACTTCTAGAATAGAAGATTTATTGTAAGATAGAATGTGTAAGAAACCTTAGTGTCCTATTAATTCAAAAAAGAATTAGGTAAAGTGTAAGAGATCTGGCAATCTTGTAAATACTAAAAAATGTATTTGGGTCTGGATGTAACTCCAACATAAGGAGAGGTTGAAGGAGAAGAGAGGGAGGAGAAGGAGGAAAAGGGAGAGAGAAAATATGTATACAATGAAGTTTGTGGAAACCACAGTTCTTGGAAGTTTGGAAACAGCTTGTCTTCAAACAGAAACCTGGTCTTCCCTGTCTGATTTATGGGAAATTCTTCTGTGGTGGAGTGGGCAGAGCAGATAAAGGCAGGAAGACCCTTTTGTCTCTGTGATGTCAGGAAAATGCACTGGAAAGTTGTCATGTTCTCTCTACCACAAAGAAAATAAAGCCACACACTTGAAAAATTCCCTTCTGTCTTGGTAGGTGGTTTGATAACATCATCTGAGAATGTGGGAGCAGCAGGCATGGAAGTGGAGGACTTCTGCAGGTACAAGGGTGTTAACATGGTTCAGTTGTTCCACACTCCTAAACTCTCTTCATCTGGAAACTGTA